GACGGAGCCCGCCAGCCAATCGGCGCCACGCACGGAAACACCGGCAGGAGAAGGAGAAGGAGAAGGAGGGGATGGACGACAGGGGCAGGAGAAGGGAGAGGAGCGGGGGGGGAGAGAGCGGGATGGAGAGAGAAAAGGGGAGAGGGAGGGGCAGGAGAGGGGCAAGGTGAGAGGGGGAGCGCAGGGCAGGGGAGGATGGAGGAATGGGGAGTGCAGTAAAAGGAGCTGGGGACGGTGGAGGGGAGAGAGAGAGAAAGAGGAGCGGGATGCAGAGAGCAGCTGTGCGGTGGAAGGGGGGCTCTGCTCGGCTCCCCGAGGCAGGGGGAGCTGTGGCAGTGCGAAGCGCCCTGTGAATGCCCGCGGGCACACAGGAGAGGGGCTCCCTGCTCCGAGGATCTTGCGGGCAGGACCGGTGCTGCTCAGAGATGCAGGGATACGGCAAAGCCTGCAAAGCCTTCTGGCTGGCAAGATGCTCAGAAGCCGAGGTGGCTGCTGAGCACACAAGAGCTTCTCCCTTCTGCTCTGCCCTGCCAGCACCTCCAGCTGGATGGAGCTGAGAGCAGATGGGCAAATAGGGGGGCTGTCAGTCTCAACTCTCTCCCTCCCCTGGCTCCCTCCACAATCTCATGCCTCTTTCACCTTCTTTGGGAAAAAAGCCCCAGTTCAACAGCCCCAAACTCTCCTACCAGATTTCATCTCTGCTACAAAGAGTGGACCCGGAAGAAATGGGGCAGGGCAAGAAATTAAGCTCCTTTGTGTAAGCAGTTCTCCCAGGAAGGAAATTAGGATTTTTCCATCCCATTCCCTGCACAAAGCGCTTCCCTGTAGCCCTCACCCCCTTCCCTGCCCTGCAGCCAACATCAGTGACTCCTTGTGCTGTGCAGTCACGCAGCTCTTCACATTTGGCACTGCTGTTACTAGCATTTGAGCTCCTAGGGCCAATTCCAGCCTTAACGGAAGTAGGGAGTATCTCTGCGAGCGGAACACAGCCAGGGTCTAAAACCTGGCCTTCCAAACCTGCTTGAGCAATGTCCAGCCACTGCTGCTCAAAGGTGAACAGGTGAAGGCAGTACAGGGCTTCAAAGCTGTCCAGATGCCGTAGCCTAGATCTTGGCCACAATGCTGTCTGGAGACACACAGGAGAGATGAGGCCTCACTGGGGAAGGAATGGCATGGGCAGCACCCAGCGGCTATCTTTGTCATGGCAGGGCAGGTGTCTGCAGCACCATGCAGGGAGCCCCCAAGCTAGTGTCTGAGAAGAAACAGAGCCATGCAACAGCAGAGCTCTACCCAGGCCAGCTACCCCTTGCAGGACTTGTTAGCATAAACACAGTCACAGGATTACAGCTTCCAGGTCTCCAGCTCGCTTCCTCAATGCTCAAAGTCCTGCCCCATTCTCTGCCTCAGCTCCAACGGGGTTGTGCAAACTGCTTGAATTGTGCTGGAAGGAGAGCTCAGCCTGTGCACCTCCAGGGAGGCAGATACATCAATTTTGTTTCATGTACAGGGTGAGCCTCGCCTCTCTGCATTGCTGTACGTGGTAGGGGACAGGGCAGACTGAGAAGGTAAAAGCCAAAGGTTGAAAACTGGAGAGGAAGTAATAACCCACTGGGAATTCACTGGTTTGAGTAATGTTTAGGATGTTTAAGGGAGGCTAGATCCCAGTCTCAAGGGCTTTGTGTCCCTTGCCCTTCCACAGGCATATGACCACACCAGAGACTTCATTTCTGCTCTTCTGGACTTATGTTGACACAATTTACATTACCTTTAGATGGGGCTTGGGCAATTCATCAGGCAGCCCATGTGCAATGCAGACATTTGTGGAACTCGCTGCCACAGGATGTCCTCCAGGGTTGCTCTGGACATTATCAGTGGATAATGCGTCATATCACTGAATTAACTGCCTTACTCAGATCCGACCATGAATTGAATTTGCAGAAATTTCCCTGGCAGCAGGAAGCCCTCAGGGGCATCACTGTGGCGGGTTGTTGCTGACACTACCCATGCACCTCCTCAGTGCAGGAAGCAGCTTTTGAAACTCAGAAGTGGTGCTGCATTGGGGAGTGATAAGCTGGCTCAACTCCACAGTTTCTCTGTGCCTTCCTAGGACTGCAGGATTTTGCAGTGCCAATCATTGCACCCTGAGCCCTCCTCCCTCCCGCAAGCAGTGGCAGTAGCAGCCACCCTGTAACACTTATTGCTCTCAAGTCCCTGCAATGCATCAGAAAGGCAGGTGCTCACAGCTGCCAGATCCATAGTACCACTGGGACCACTCTCTTCAGCTTAATTTTAGTGACTTGGAGGCAATTCGTCTGGACTGGTGACTCATTCCTTGCTCTTTCTTTTTTTTTTTCCTTGCCCTCCCCCTTCCTGTTCTTGCTCTGCCTGTGCCTGGCAGCATGAATGAGTGCTGGTACCGATATGACTGCCTGGGACATGAGCTTAGGAGTGCTAATGCAGAAATGTTTTGGTGAAAGGTTGTCCCCAGCAACGTGCAGGGGCAGTCCCTACAGAGAGGAGTCTGGGCCCGGGTGTCCCCTCCCAAAGCCTGCATCTATCTCATCCTCTGTGTGTCTCGGAAGGGAGACAACTTTCCCTTTGAACACATGGAGGCTGAGAAGAGGAAGGGCAAAAGCCAAGGTGTAATCACCCCGCTGCCCTTGGCTCGCACATGATATTTGCACTTTATTGAGGAATGCAGGGGGCTCAGCCGAGAACTTAGCAACTCGGCTCATGAATCAGGCCTCGTCTTTTCCTCCTATAGTGGCTGGGGCTCCCCAGTACCACGCTCAGTGTGGTGCTGCCTGGGTTGTCACTGCCGAAGGAGGGACACAGCTGGCAGGCGCCTCCACCCCAGCTGTCCCGTTGCTCACTGCTTCAGGGCTGTGTCCCCCCAAAGTGCAACACATCACGGACATGACAAGAACGTACGGTCTGTTTATTGGGTCTTTTTCACTGCGTTGTAACCGTGGGGCTTGGTGAGGAAGGGAAGGGGCAGGTGGGGTGGGGCAAGTGTTGGGAAGTTGTGTAAACAGACAAACCAGTGCCACAGACCCACAACAGTCTTTCAAGCCAACAGAAGTAAAAAGCGCAGTGACTGCCACAAAGTACTGAGCTCTGGGATGCTGGAGCCATCGCTCTCCTGCGTGCTGGGCAGAGCCTGGCATCAGGACAGGGCTGGGATCTGTAGCCAAAAACACGACAGACCTCGTGAAACCAGCCCAGCTGTTTTCCTGCTCTCCCTCCCTCTGCCCTGGTGGTAATGGGAGAAGAAAGGGGCAGGGTCCCAGCTAGAAAGCTCTCACTCTTCTCTCTCCTCAGGATCTGGACAGCTTTGCCTCTTGTCCTGAAGCCTCTCTCCTCCCTCTGCTGCCTTGAGTTGAAGGGGAAGGGCAGGTGGGGACAATATGAGGAGTAAAGGAGTCCTGGAGGAGAAGCTGCTGCCTGCCAATGAACAGCAACACAAATACCACCCTTGAGGTGAGCAGGGCCTGGTAAGAGGAAGGGCCATTGGGCAACTTCCATGAATAAGGAACAACTTTTTTTTTTTTTTTTTTTCCTTTAAAAAAAGGCTGGGGTTTTCACGATCTCACCTTTTACTAACTAAAATTACTTCCCAAAAAAAAAAAAAAATTTTTTTTTTTTTTTTTTTCCTGTAGAAAAAGGCTGCGGCTTCACAGCTCTCACAGCAGGTCATCTCCAGGGCAGCCTGGATGCAGTTCCCTCTGTGGCAGAAGGTGACAGACAGTTCTCTCTGTGAGGGCAGAGGTGAAAAATCCTGGGCCACCCTGCACCAGAAGATGGGGGCAAACCTGCCCATGGGCAAGCAGCAAGGAGGGGGAAGTGGTTCAGGGGTCCGTGTGCTCCGTCATACCATGTCCTGTCCTTTCCCCAAGCAGGACTGCTGTCTCCCTCTCTCTCTTTGAGAGTGACCCATCCCACCAGGCACAGCAGGTCATAGGAACTCAGGAGCCCTGACCGTCCAAGTTCAAGAGTGGGAAAGTGCCACTAGGGTCACTCCCAGGGATCTCTTTCAGACTTACTCTCTTAGAGGAGGCTGCATACACGTTTCTTTGTCCGGGTGGGCTGCGGACAGAGGACTGCTCGGATGGCCTCGTCAAACACCGTCTTGAGGCCGCGCTGCGTCAAAGCTGAGCATTCGAGGTATTTCACGGAGTCTGTCAGGAGGAAAGCAGGTGCTGTAATGGGGAGGAAGGCAACTGGGGCAGGCAGTGGGGGTACCCAGGAGTCTGCTGCCAAGGGTGCTCAGAAGAGAAA